AATTTCAGGCATATAGATTGGGAAATTCTAGAGTCAAACCAAGATGGAAAATGGTTTTGGGAAACTGTTCAGGATGGCTTTCTTCACCAGTTAGTCAAGGAACCAATTAGAAACAATGCTATTTTAGACTTATTGTTAACTTCAGATACAGAAATGATCGAGAGGGTGAAAATTGGGGAACATCTGGGTGCAAGTGATCATTTCTCTATTAGGTTTGATGTTTTGCTGTATATGGAGATAAGGAATAATGATATTTTGGTTACAAATTTCAAAAAAGCAAATTTTGAAGGGATGTGACAAGAATTATCTGTTGTAAGTTGGGCAGCTGAGTTATTTGGAGACACTGATCAGATGTGGACACATTTTTAAATATTCAAGGTAAAAGAAAGAAAATAGTAGCTGCAAGTAAAAAACCAGGTTGGCTCATGAAGGCTATAAGAGATAAAATTAAAGAAAAGCATCATAAATTTAAGAAATTTAAATTGACTGGTATGACAGGAGATTTAGAAGATCAAGGAAGTTGGTGAAAGAGGATATTAGGACATTAAAAACAATGTATGAGGAAAGGTTGACTGAAGATGTAAAAATTAACAGTAAGGATTTCTTTAAATACATTAAGGGTAAACAAAATGTTAGGATGGGGTAGGACCCTTGAGGGATGATAAAGGTAGGTTAATACCTGATGATTATGAGATGGATGGGTTATTAAATTTTGCTTTTTCTTCAGTTTTTACTAACGAAGATTTAAGTAGTATTCCTCATCTTGAACAGTTGATAGATGGAAACAAGATCGAACTAGATGACTGCATTAATTCTGAGATGGTTAAGAAAACAATTGGGAACTTTAAAAACATAAGGCTCCTGGGCCAGATAATATTTCCCCAAGGGTTTTGAAGGAGGTTAAAAATTGGATATGTGAGCCACTTACTGCTATTTTCTTTTTGTCAGCCCTTGAATAGTTGGCAGGTACCAGAGGATTGGAAGTTAGCTAATGCAACTCCTCTTTTTCAAGGGAGGTGATAAAAATTGTCCCAGTAATTATAGACCCATTAGTCTTACATCAGTTGTAGGAAAAGTTTTGGAACGTCTGTTAAAAGATGCTTTGCAAAGTCATTTAACAAAGTTTAGAATTTTATTGAATAGTCAAAATGGTTTCACTAAGGGAAAATCTTGCCTTACAAATCTTTTAACATTTTTGAAAAGGTTACTGCTTATGTAGATGAGAGTAAGGGTGTAGATTTGGTGTATCTGGATTTTCAGAAAGCATTTAACAAGGTGCCATATAAAAGGCTTGTGAAAAAAATTTGCTCTATAGGTGTGGTGGATAAGTTAGCAAATTGGATAGAAGAGTGACTGGATGGAAGAAAGCAGAGGGTTGTTACAAATGGAGTTCAGTCAAACTGGATTAATATCACAAGTGGGGTACCTCACGGCTCAGTCTTAGGACCTTTTCTCTTTGATTTACATCAGTGACATAGATGAAGGGATAGTCAATAAATTACTTAAATTTGCAGA